ATCTATCAAATTCTTTATTTTTAATATAAGATTGATGTTCACTTATTCTAACATTTAATGGCCTTGATGATTCACCTAAATAAAACTGATCGCATTCACAAGGTATTTTATAAATGCAATTCTTTGTCCTTTCTTGTTCATTGTTAGGTTTGGTTTTGGACAAAATAGATCTCAACGTGTTTGTCGTTTTGAATGTTGTTGAAATGTTGAATTTATTTCCTATCCTTTTAAGTTTTTCTGATAGTCCTTTTATGTACGGTATTGTTATTTTCCTCATATTATTCCTTGTGTATGCTGTAGGATCTCGTTCTAAGTTGTTCTGTTCTATTCGATCGATTGTTGAAAATTCCTTATTTTATTTTTTTCTATTGTTATTCTATTATTATTCCTATATTTATTTCAACAATCGATCGAATAGAACAGAACAACTTAGAACGAGATCCTACAGCATACACAAGGAATAATATGAGGAAAATAACAATACCGTACATAAAAGGACTATCAGAAAAACTTAAAAGGATAGGAAATAAATTCAACATTTCAACAACATTCAAAACGACAAACACGTTGAGATCTATTTTGTCCAAAACCAAACCTAACAATGAACAAGAAAGGACAAAGAATTGCATTTATAAAATACCTTGTGAATGTGATCAGTTTTATTTAGGTGAATCATCAAGGCCATTAAATGTTAGAATAAGTGAACATCAATCTTATATTAAAAATAAAGAATTTGATAGATCTCAAATCTGTAAACACGCATGGGATAATGAACATAGTGTTCAATGAAATAATTCAAATGTAGTCCTAAAAGAAACGGATGGTAAAAAAAATAATCAAAGAAGCGGCTCTAATTATGCTAAATGAGGCCAATTGTGTCGCAAATTCTTCGGCAGAATGTAGTAGGATCTGGTTACCAATATTGAAAGAGGAAGTTATTAATAAGAAAATACCAGTATTAGTAAGTCAGTAACATATAGAGGATACATCATTTATGTTTTTTAAATAACGTAACATATAAAATCAGAATTTTGATGTTTGTTGAAGGTAAACTAAATTCACGAACAAATACTTACAATGTCGGGATAGTATTATGAGGTTTTTTTTCCTGGTTTTCCCTCATAATTTACTATGGAATCACTAACAGGAGAATTTTACTGTCATCATGTCATGTGTTTGTCTTTTTAAAGACGAATTACATGCTATGATTTTTTTCTGACGGATATTCTCAAGTTAAAGTTGATTTCATGTAATCGAATGAACTATCTTATAAGTAAAGTCGTCCCAGGAGCGCAACTCAACAATATTGACAATATCATTTTAAAGTCGTCTACTTTAAAATGCATAATGTATGTCTGAATTGTCAATATAAATGAGTCAGATAAAATTAAATTATTAGAAGAATTTTTCACTATGTAACAAAAAACAAAATTTGTTTAATTTACTGTTTGTATTTTGAGAACGATTTCCGAAGTGGAAATTGAAACGCCAATAAACGTATTTTTATCTTTAATTGTGGCTTATTCCCAGTTTAATAGTAATTAATTTACAATGCCACAAGAAAATAGCTTCAGAACAATATTAAGTAACTGTTTTATGGTTTGTAATATTCAAAATATAATAAGTAACACTTTGTGAAAATTATTTTCCTATCTATAGATCTACCTATATTGATCAGTTGAATTCCTGGTATGACAGCATTTATTTTTTTTTAGTTTTACATATTATAATATTTTCGACTTGTTACTATTTACCAAGTATAATTTGTTTTAAATTTGGAAAATATAGGACTTGAACAATATTTAATTTGCACAACAAAATTGAACAATTTTGTTGGTTAACTATGAGACAGAAAATAAAAAAATAGTTTTTTTTCAACTCAATATCGAAATATCCATTATCCAAAAATGTTCAAACTAAAGATTAAATAATTTACTAATTTCACAAATTTTAAACACTGTGAAATTATGGATAAAAATCTCCAAAAATCTATTGAAATGTATATCTGAATTTGAGAACTAATATGAGGTTATGATTTAATACCAAACCTCGACGTAAGCGCCCATTGCGGATATTTTTTTAACTGACTTATGGCACGTGATCTATTGCTTTGACTTTGTCACAGTTAGTTATTGCCTGTTCTTCTTTTGTTTATGGGGTTTAGGTATTGAGGTCTAGTGGGTCTACCGAAGTAAAATAAACATACTCAAATAAACAAGACTTACCTTTATTAAATAATTAAATAAATATTGTGAGACATTGGGAAGAAATTTTTTCAATCATGTATATTCAATAAGGACACAGTAATAAACCAAAATATCTAGTACAATGGAAAGGAAAACCAACGTTTTTAAATAATCCCAAAACTTAAGAAGAGAGAAATATAGTTAAAAATATAATATTCAGTATGTAACGCATGGCGATCACAGATAAACAACTGTCAAATGTAACATGCATAACTTTAGAAATTTTCCAATTTTAAAATTGCACATTTCGTTTGATATGAATTATATCAACGCATTTTCTTTATAATATGTATATAATGTATATTCAATTATTCAAAAACATTCAGCTAAACCTAAACGTACTGAAAAGGCATCAAACCGGAATGTCCCAGGTATTTTACTGATAAAAATACAAAAAAATTTGGCAATTTTTCTTTCTTCCTTTAGCTTTTTCCAGAAGATTATCGAGCTATACGTTTAATACATTAGTCATATTTATTTATGTATGTGTAGCTTCCATGAACTAGGAATATGTATTGGATAATGAATTTCATACTCCACCACTAGTCAAATACAAGAAATGGGCCTAAACTATTAACCAAAGACTTATACAAGAATGGCTACAAGAATAACAAACATTTGAGATATATCCATGTATTTAAAGGTTATTTTATCCGCTTCCGGTAATATTGTTGACTGGCAATTATAAGTAGGTATAGAACTGCATCATAGGATTAAAAAACGTAACAATTAATCAATGCAATGAAAACAATTAAAAAAATTGTACATCTTGAGTAGGGCTTAAGTTCTCGCTCAAATCCTTCTTTTTTCTACAGCTAACATCATTGGTTTGAACATACATGACACCAACTGTTCAAAGGAGCTTCAAATAAGATCAAATTTGTTATATCATGCCTAACTTTCAACAAAATATGTTTATTTTAGTTAACATATTACTTATGTCGAAATCATCTTCAAATAAGCTTAAAACAATAACGATGGATAGAACTTCAGTTTTGTTATGCCAATCATAAAACAGTAGTTTTAGTTTAAGTAACAAAATAAATCCACATAACTAGTTACAAATTGATCCAAAGTCAACGGTTAGTGGGCAATTAATAACAATAAGTACTAAATAAACGATAGAAATATAGACGGGATACAAAAAAACCGACTCAAGACAGACCTATACTCATTTTATCAAAATCTCTGTTCGTAGAACATCTCTTTTAACCAAAGGACTAAAACGTGGTCCATGAAGTTATAAATCCCATGGTCATTTGACATGGGGTGTTGAACGCTTATAGACAAGGACGTGTTGTTGAGTCAAAATTAAAAGAGAATTTTTATAGTAAATGAGTCATTTAAGGCATCGAAATTTTACAATTATTATACAAAATTGAGGTACAAGAAACTGAAAAAGCATTACTATTACGAAGAAACTTCTTCTTCCTCTTTCTAAACAATTCTGCTCGTTCATTGGCGGATTAATACCTATGTGGAAGGTTGTCACTCCATCCTTTGTGAGGTCGTCCAATACTTCTTCTGCCGATTAGTGATTTAACTATTGCTATTCTGACTAAACAGGTCTCCCCCATTCTGCTTATGTAGTTATTCTATTCTTTTTCACTTATCTCCAGTATCTTCACTACTATTCAGTGTCAGCGTATTTCCTGTAGTTCTTCTCATTCCTCTCATCTCTGTCGTTTCCAGTAGCCTTTGTGTTGTGGCTCTATCGGGTTTTGTTATTGAGTAATATGTCATTATTGGTCTTAGACGGGCTTTATAAATTCTTGATTTCGTCTTGCCTGGTCCTGTCAGTCTATTTGCTGTTTATAGTTTTGTAATCCATAGCTGGACAGTGTAATTCCAAGATATTTTATTCTCATTACTTGTCCAATATTGATGCCATTATTTTCTATTTTACTTCTGATTGGTTCTTTGCTGATTACTATTATTTTTGCTCTTATGTTAAATTTGTGGACTGGAAATCTTTGCAGACTTGACGATAACTTCTTATAGTAAATTAGTGATTTAAGGAATCGATCAAATTCTAAAATTATTGTACGAAATTGAGGCACAAGAAACTGCAAACAATTACGATTATTGTAAATACTTGATACAGGACGAAAAAAAACATAAAGAGACGAAGAAACTAAAGCAGAAAACAATTCTTGGGTAACTATCTTCTACCAAGGAACCATACCAATAAACCCTAATTAAAATTTATTAATACCTAACATAATAAAATAAACCATACCATTTAGTTTTGAGTGCGGGGTAAAAGGCATTTTTTAGGATGTTGTAGAAGACGAACATAGACAGAGTATAGATATCTCACGACAAATATGCATACTTTTTTTCTCCTATGATTCATAGTATGTCACTTTTATTGCTGATTTAATAGATCAAGTTTCTCATTTTCTTGTTTAGAATTATTATATAAATACCTACTATTACTACTATCTTCAACTGCACACACAATTTATTTTTCTATTACTTTTTCCACCAATTTTAACTTGCATAATATTCTGTATTAGTATTAATTTTAGTCTGTTCGTTACACACTTTACTTATTGTAACCTTCGTTCTTTTTATCAGTGATATACTATTTAAATGTCTAACATAGATGTTTAGAAAATACGTAAAAAGCAATGATTCCCTTTAAGAATGGTAAATATGTAACAGTTCGTACAAAGGCAATAAAAAGGATGACAATACCAGATTTTTAATCACTATTGATTACTTCTTCTTCTTGAGTACCGTGCCCAAGTTTTAGGCATGGCTAGCTTCCATGACTATTTGCCGATATCGTTCTCGATCTTGTGCGGCATGTAATAATTTATCTGCTGATAAGCCAATCCATTGACGAAGGTTTCGGAGCCATGAGTATTTCTTTCTACCAATTCCTCTTTTTCCGTCGATATTTCCGTTAAGTATCAACTGTATGATCCTGTATCTGCTTCCTCTAATTATATGCCCTAGATATGCGAGTTTGCTCTTTTTTATCATCTTTATTAATTCACCTTCACCTTGACCTACTCTGTTCAAGACTTGTCTGTTTGAAATATGTTGAATCCATGATATTCTAAGCATTCTATGATATAACCACATCTCGAAGGCTTCAAATTTATTCATCATGTTCTTCTTCTTCTTCTACTTTTAGTAGATCTTTCGATCTGTTTAATTCTGAAGCTGCCTCTGGTTAATTTCTTGGGAGGTGGATTGCCAACTATCCCTCCATCTTTTAGGTGGTCTTCCGGGGGGTCTTGAACCGGGCGGATTGTTTTCTAGGGCAATTTTTGGGAGTCTATTCTCATCCATTCGTCTTACATGGTTGTACCACATCCTCTTGCGCTGCCTTCCCCATCTTTATTCATCATGTTAACCTTCATAATCCAGGTTTCACATCCTTACAGTAATACAGGATACACATAATATTTAGGAACTTAATTCTCAGCTGTAAGTATAGTTGAGAATTGCGCAGAATAGATCTAAGCTTCATAAATGCTCCTCTTGCTATTTCTATAAGAGTTATAATTTCTTCATCCCGAGTTCGTGTTTCGTTTATCCAACATCCTAGGTATTTAATATGGTAACTTTTATTATCGGTTCATTATTGATAGTTGTATAGCGCCGAGGTCTTGTTTACTAACGACAAGTAATTTTATCTTTGTTGTATTTATGCTTATTCCGTTATTAGAGCATTCTCTAGTGACTCGATCTATAAGGAATTGAAGATCGTCGATACTTTCAGCCATGATCGCGATGTCATCTGCATATCTGATGTTGTTAATAGTTTCTCCTCTGATTCGCACTCCACATTACCCTTCCAAGGCTTCGTTAAAAATTATTTCCGAGTAAACGTTAAACAAAGTTAAGGACAACACACAACCCTGTCTAACACCTCTTTGAATACAAATTTTGTCTGTTTCTTTGCCGTCTACCAGAATAGAAGCTTGTAGATTCCAATATAGATGTTGTAAAAGTCTCATATCTTTATCATCTATTCTAATCATTTGTAGATATTCACACAGCCTACCATGTTAGACTCTAACACACGCCTTCTCAAAATCTATAAAACTGACGTTAATTGGTTTCTGTACTTCCCATAATCGTTAAAGTAGTGTTATCGTTGAGAAAAAAGCTTCCCTTGTTCCCAATCCTTATCTGAAACCGAATTGTTTGATTCCCATTGTGTCTTCACATTTCTGCTTGATTCTATAAAGAATTATCCTAAGAAGTAGCTTAAGAGAGCGACTCATAAGAATAACTAGTCTAAAGTCTTTACATGGTGATGTATTAGGTTTTTTTTTTGAAGTGGGATAAATATAGACTCCAACCATATTTATGGCAGTATTCTAGTTTCGTATATATGCTTATAAATGTTTGTTGGTTCTGAGAGATTGTTGTCGTCTAGAAATTTGAGCCAGTCTGATGATATTTGGTCAGGGCCTGACGATTTTCCATTTTTGCTTTGTTTGATGGCTTTCTCTACTTCTACTTTTAAAATACAAGGACCAGTATTCGTATACTTTGTGTTGTTAAGTGGTGGCCTCGTATCCAGAAAGAGCACTTTTATCTAGTTGGTCCCTTCTTTCCTTTTTTCGTTTTAGTCGAGAATAATTGTACCTTTGGAGTTTTTCATAAAGTGAGGAGTTCTTTTTTTCTGAGTGTAGGTAATTTTTTAAAGTTTTTTGTGTATATTAAACTCGTCACGTTTTCTTTGTAGTTCTTCCATCGCACAACATCTCTGTTCCATACAGGCCTCATTTGCTCGCTTAACCTCGTATTTTATTTGTCGATATATTTCTCTACATCGAGTCTTATCTTTATTTTTACAATTTTTTCTTTGCTGAATAAGGTCTAGTATGTTATCGGTCATCCAATCCTTTTTCTTTACTGGCTCTTTTTATGATTTCAAAACTTCGTCTGCTATGGTAACAATGGCGGAATTCATTATATCTATATCTTGTCCGATATTTTCTTGTTCAGATCTTTCTATCTGTTTTTTAATTGCATGACTATTGATGAATTGCATGACTAATGATGAATAATAAAAACTAAAATTGAAAGGGAATAGTACAACTTCGAAACAGGATTTCGAGATCATAGATCAAAGAAACATGTTCTTCATTTTTGTATGTTGACTTCTAAACTTTTTATTCATATTTGAATAAAAATCAACTAAATTTTGTAATACAGGGTGAGTCATAACTATTGGGACATAGACTAAGGACAGGTTATTTGGACCAAAATATGGCTATTGGGCCAAATATGCCTTAATAAAATGTTGCTGAGAAAAAAGATACAGGGTGTTAAAGTTAATTTTTGTTTTTCGTTTTTTGCTAATAGTTTCCTTGTATATTTATAAATTCCTATCGAAATTGGCACAGAGGCATAATCTTAGACAAGAAATAGTATTTTATTTACAATTCCACTATCAAATACCAAACTAATAAACAAAGTTGAAACTAACGTAAGTTTTCTGTTTTGACGATAAATCAAAACTAAACACACTTTAACTTAAAAGAACTAACAAAAACTCAAACTAAATGTTCTACATGGTCTATTCCGATTTCTATGCCTTTTCTAATTCTTTTTATAAAGGATTTTTGGACGTTAAAAAAATATTATTCTGTCCCCTTATAAGATTAGCTGCTTTTTGAATGTATCTCCAAAGTTCGTCTCGTGTATTAATTTCGTTGGCATAAACTAAGGACTTCATATGTCCCTAAAAATAAAAATCTACCGGGTTGTCCTCAGGACCTCTTGGTGGCCATTGAAAATCACTGCCTCTGCCAATCCATCGTTGAGGAAATACGACATTAAGATGATTTCTAACAGCTAATGAAAAATGAGGTGGCGCTCCATCCTGCATAACCACATTTTTCTTCTTACATTCAGTGACAGATCATATAAAATATCAATAAGAGAATTTTCCAAAAAGAATAAATAAGAATCTCCATTTAAATTCGGAGGAAGAACATTAGGCCCTAGTAGTTGGTCGGCTATAATGCCACACCAAATATTCAATTTAAACTCATGCTGAAAATGTCTAGTTTTAATAGCATGTGGGTTTTCTTCTTCCCAATAATGACTATTTCGCCAATTAAAAACCCCTTGACTGGTAAAAGTTGCTTCGTCGGTGAACATAATATTCTCAATAAAGTGTCTGTCATTGCGATGTTTATTCAGAATACTTTGGCAAAACTGTAACCGTCGTGGAAGATCTGTTGAAAAAAATTTTGAACAGGTGTGAAGTGATAAGGATGGAGGTTCTCTTTTTTTAGAATTCTAACAATAGACGACTGACTTACTCCTGTTGCTGCTGATAGATGTCGGGAACTGATTTCAGGATTTTCATCTAGTCGAACCAAAAGTTCATCTTCTTGATTCGGTGTGATTTGTTTCGGTCGACCACCCCGATTTTTAGTGTGAAATGACCCAGTTTCACCTAAACTGCGATATAATTTTGCAAAAGTTTTGTGATTTAATTGCCTTCTGTTTGCGTATAACATTCCATACCTTCTGGACGCCGAGCGACCGCAAAAATTTTCTTGTGCGTATTCGCAAATCATATCTCGCCTTTCTTCATTAGTAAAATGATTGTGACGAGGCATTTCAATAAAAAAAAGTAATGATTACTTTTAAAAAATGCAACATTACACTACACTGTCACATCAAAATTATATATTTACTTTGAACAAATGACATTTACCAACAAAAATTATGTGACAGTCCAAAGCATACTTTTCATAAATGAAATAATATTTGAAATCATTTTTAAGACTCTAAACAGTTCGACTGCGTTTTTATCGAAAACCATTGAAATTATCATGTTTAAACAAGAGTAGGTACCAATTTTACGTAAAAATGATGTTTATGTCCTATTTTCTAATAAAAATTACTAAAAAGTTTCATCAGAAAAAGTTTCTTTTCTAAGATTATGCCTCTGTGCCAATTTTGATAGCAATTGATAAATATACAGGGAAAATATTAGCAAAAAACGAAAAACAAAAATTAACTTTAACACCCTGTATCTTTTTTTTCAGCAACATTTTATTAAGGCATATTTGGCCCAATAACCATATTTTGGTCCAAATAACCTGTCCTTAGTCTATGTCCCAATAGTTATGACTCACCCTGTATACATTATAAACTTTTTTTATTAAATTAAAATTTATATAGTCATATAACTGAAAGTGTAATACGTTACACTTAGCAGTTAGGG